ACATGTGACAATCAAAATAAGGCGTCTGTACAGTATGGAAATAAGATTAATTGGATTATGTTCACAGAAATTATAAAACATGTGTCCATTAAAAGTAAATGGACACATGTAATTTACTTTACACAGGGGTAAAAAGCACTTATTTATAAAATATATATATTCGGTTTGATGTTCGGCTTCGGCCAAGAATTTTCATTTTGGTGCATCTCTATTAGCACCCCCACCTGTAGGTCTTAGGTCTTCTTCTTCTATTCACCTCACTGTATGTCCTGCTCGTTTGACCACCATGGGGTTCAGAGCTTTCAGCCGCTCTGCCCCTCGTCTCTGGAACTCTCTTCCACCAGATATCCACAACATGTACTCGCTTTCCATTTTTAAATCCCACCTGAAAACACATCTTTTTAAACTGGCATATCCCACGTGATCACTCTTTCTCAATCTTGTTTCCAGTTGTTGTGTACCTTAAATTTTATACACTGTAATTATAGTTGTTGATTTTATCGATTTATTGCTACACTGTTGTTTGTTTTGTGAGGTGACTTTGAGTGTTCAGAAAGGTGCATATAAATAAAATGTTTTGTTATTATTATTACTCTACCGCCAACTCCCGCAACATGTGTATCCACTCCCAGACATTGTGCAAACATTGTGACATGCAGAATAAAAAAAGAACACAAATGTTTGGGCTATGCTAAACGCCCGTGTGATGGAAACCAGCGAGGCTGTGCAGTGAGTAATCCTCACTCCCAAGACTTTAGAAGACAATACTGGCGATTGACATCAGTGGTCACGGGGTTTCGCTTCCTCATCAGTATGTTTTTTAACCGCCCACTCCCGCACACTTTGTGTGCAGCTCTCTACAACAGACTAACTGCTTTGTATCTGAGGCAACACATTCCTCTGCATTAATACCGTTGACATAAGTGGTCGAACCCTGAAGAACCTGATAAACTGGTTTCTTATAAATAACCACAACACGCAGCATAACAGCTCGAACTCTCTCAAACACTGAAGTCAAGCATGAATACTGTAAGGTGAGGGAGAGGGAGTGAGGCAGCACGAGCACAGAAGTGGACTGTAGGGGAGGGTGGGGGCGTACCATTTTTCAGAAAAACCTGATTTTAAAAGATAATGTTTCAGACAGAGGTATATTTTTGCTGTGGTCACTAACTCACAGGTGTGCTCTATCAATATCAGATGGTGTTTTGTACAAATGTAGAACGACTTCCGTATAATTTCACTTTAAACATAAGTGGCACATTGTTACTGTCGACGCCGTCAGCTGGGACAAAAGTAATACAACAATATAGATGTTATGCTAGATGTTTTTGTGTAACCACCCTTGTATTTAATAAATCAACATGTCTGTGACCTTGTTAATGTGTAACTGCAAACATCTTTTGTCTTAAATCTTATATATCTATAAATATTCAGTTTCAAAAGTAACCTGACAGCCCAAACTTGAATTGTTTAGAATATTTCATAATATATTAAGGATATATTATAAATATATAATATAAATACGCAAATATGTGCACCTGAAACAGGGGGGAAATGGTTAGATGGAGACTGTTTATGAACCTGACATGATTAAAATAAAATAAGACTTTACTGATCTGCACTGGGGATATTTGCATGTTGTAGCAGTTTCAGAAACAGTGAAAAAATGAAACATAATTTAGAAAGATAAGACAAAAATGAAAACAAACAATAAAATTAAGATAAAAATTAAAAAGCTATTAACAGAATAGGCCTATACAAATTTCACATTTTGAAATGAATTTAAAATCGTTTTAGTAAGAACAGTATGAGTGATCTGCATTTTGAGTGCTTTTTACCAACACCTACTACACTGAGCTCCTAGCAGCGGGACAAAAAAAACACTTGTTACTTTCGTCACGACAGCAACTCCTGACATATCAACACGATTTATTTTTATACTGAAAAACTCTCACAGGTCAAACTTCAGGGTGTGTTAAAGCACTAAATAACCTGTAGATTAATCCTTACTGTGACAATGAAATGAGAGACACAACTTGTAATTCGAACAACAGTCCCGCTTCAGAAATGTACTTGCCGTGCTTGAAAACAGTTTTCTGAAGACAGCCGCGCGTCTCTGAAAGTGTTACACTTCAAAATAAAATACCCTGTGCTGAGTCCTGATCATAAAACAACAATAAACACAAAAAAAGAAACCATTTAACTATGAAGCTGCTTAACCAAGACAGAAGCACAAAATAAGGACACATAACATCGTTTGTTGCAATTATTTCAAGCGTGTATATGTGACGCCTGACATGAGATCGGGTTGTACAGCTACATGGTATTTTATACGTTTATCCCCTAACATACAAAGAACTTCTACTTCTACTATCACATGACTCGGCTGAAAGACCTTGCTTTCAGAAGTGGGATTCTAACACACGGCTCCAGAGGAGACTGCAACCTGAATGCAGCGCCTTAGACCATTCGGCCATCGTGACTGTGTGAAAACTTGATTCAGTGGGAACTTTGCTGTATATCTTGACAGAGCACATATGTCATTATATATTATTGCTCAACATCTGGCGCAAAATAATCGAATTGGTCAGTTAAAAGTCTTGAAATGAGTTGAGTTGCATTTGGATAAAAATCAGGTTCCACCGAGAATTGAACTCGGATCAATGGATTAAAAGTGCAGAGTGCTAACCATTAAACCATGGAACCACTACACAGAGACAGGAGGCAGTTTCTCAGTGTTTAAAACTGACTCAGACATTCCTTTGCTTTCTATCAGGTTTATTTTGGAGCGGCTGTTCTGTGGATCAGGACTCACCTGGTCAGGTAACAACATCAGATAATAGTTAAATAGGAAAAATATTCCAAAAGGTCACGTCACCTGGTCAGGTAAAGTTATACATCACTTGTAAAATAGTCAAATAGGTAAGTTCTGACAGCAAACTCTACCTAATTAACTAACCAGGTGGATAATTTACCTGACCAGGTTATGTCATCAGTTTAACTTCAAATGAAGTATTTACAGGTAATGTTACAAGGTAACATCACCTGCACTCGTTGCAGGACGACCTGCTCTGTCTCTGATTGGCTGTTAACAGATGATGTCACACATTCAGAGAAAACACACATACATAAATACTGTTTATGTTACTGTCTGCACTGACATGCACGATACATTCTGTAAATACAAACAACAACAATCTGCATACAAACATTCTACAAAATGTTATAAGATTATAAAATTGTTATTTTTCTTTTGAGGCTAAACTGTACGGAGACACATGAGGGACAATATTTATCTTCAGTTGTGTTAACTTAAGAGGTTTTTCTCGCCCATGAAGCAACACTTGATTCTTAAGTTTAGTCATGTGACATCTCACGTTTAACATTTAATTAAACAAATTCAAAAATGTGTAAATGTCCAGAGTGCGATGATGCTGATTGTTGATATATGTAGTTCTACACGGTCACACATGCTCTACAAAAATAAAAGTTTAAACAGTTAAACAGGCAGAAACAGTTCAAGGCAAAGTTATCTAATAAACAACTAACAGCTGTTCAGCCTGGAAGACTCGCTGAAGGGAAAAACTGCATAATCTACTTTTGTGCTTCAGAGGTCAAAGGTCATGCTAACAGGAAACTGAGATTTTCCTTCAGTTCTCTTTTTCTGTGTCAGATGTTTCAGATCACCTTCATCTCTGTGATTAGCCTAGCTTAGCACAAAGTCTGGAAGAAGGAGAAACTGTTAACCTAGCTTAGCACAGTCTGAAAGTAGAACCCAGGTGCTCTCTGGATCTTAAGCTAATTCTAAGCTAAGCGGACCCTGACGTTAACTGGACATCTAAGCTAACTAAACCTAGAAGCTAACTCTGAGCTAACCAAACCTAGAAGCTACTTCTAAGCTAAAAGGGCCCGGAGATAAATCTAAGCTAACTTGGTCCAGGTGCTGCCTGTATCTCAAGCTAAATCTAAGCGGACCCAAAGCTTTACTGGACCTGACGCAAACTCTTCATTCAGAAGCTAACTCTAAGCTAACTATACCTTCAAGATAACTCTAAGCTAACTAAACCATGAAGCAAATTCTAAGCTAAATTGTCCTAAAGATAACTTTATCCTAACTTTGCTTACAAGCTAAATCTAAGCTAACTGGGCCCAGGTGCGACCTGGACCTGAAACTAACTCTTTACTAACTTCACTCTGAAGCTAACTCTGCACCATTATGGTGCTTTTAGACCACAAGCGAAGGGAGTGTTTGGGGTGGTGAGTTTATATACAAAGTCAATGCAAAGACGTGCAGAGCCGCGATTTCCTGTCAGGCGACACAAAGCGACGCGAAGGGGGCGGTGCCTGCGACACAAAGGCAACGCTAAGGAATTCGCATAAGTTGAATATTTTCAACTCAAGCGAGAAAGTTGCATGATGCTGAGTCGCGATAGCCTATCAGCGTTGAGATTGTCTGTACGTCACCGATGGCTTCAGAGCGTTTGGAGAGGACCAGGCAGAGCGGAGGATTGAAAATCTGCTGGCTGGCTGACAGCTACTAAAGTTGGGGGAGAGGAGCAAGGAGCAGCGGTCCAGCTTCTCAGCAAATAAACACCCGTAGTCGGACTGGATTCTGCTCGCTGGAGGAGCGCAGAGTAAACTGCTTTTATTAAATTAGCTTTTAACTTTGGTTTTTGGGATTACAATGTTGATTTATCTTCACTTGAGCTTCTCAGCAGCTTCTGTGCACATCTGGTTCCAGTGTTGTTGTTAGCGTCGTTAGCTCCGTTGGACTACTATAAAAACCGGACAAAACTGGACTTTACTTCGAGAAAAGGAAGCGAGGAGGTTGAACTACATGGTGAGTTCAAAGAACATGTGTCTGTAACTTTATTCCAGCTGTCGTTGTACTTTACTGTGAACAAGTTAGCATAGCATAGCCCTGATCGATCCGAACTCCATTCAGAAAACAAACATTTTAGAAGTTGTTGTCTTGCGGTCCTGCTGACAGACCTGACAAAGCATGAATTCATATGTTTAACAAATCTGCATCATATTGTAGTTATTTCGGCATCAGTTTGATCCGTTTATTGCTATTTAATCACAGCAAAATGTTTACTTTGGGTTCATACAGTTGTAGTAATATCGAGTTGCGTTTATTCGCGTTATCGTGTTGTGTGTGAACACTCTGCAGCTCTCCAGCGATAAAACCCCCGCGAGGAAAGCGTTGCATGGATTAAATTCACGTTTGGTCTGAATGCCGCATAAGCTAACTAAACCTACAAGCTAACTCTAAGCTAGCTGGACCTAGCCAACATGTAAATTGAACAGATTTGGAGTAGATGACATATTAGTGCTAAGCTAAGCTAAACAGAGATCACAGACTTTAACTCAGCTGGCTGCTTTGAGGTTCAGATTTAATGTTGACATGTTTTAAACTCACAGAAGATGATTTTTATAGAACATGTTGAGCTTCTGTTTGGGGCGTCGCTGCAGAGAGAACTAACTGAAGCTCTTTCTCCACCATCATCTGTTATTTGTTTTCCCATCAGACCACCTCTCCTCTTCCTACCTTCACACTAGCATAACCCTGGGAACATGAATTCAATATTAGACAATCATATTTAAATATATATTATTGTGACGTTATGCCAACAACAAGAAATACATTTTGTTGTACTTAAATTATCAGTACAAACACATTGGCAATTCAGTCTCGTGGACGGTTGGTTATCAAGAACCGGTTCCAAGTTGGAGACCAAATTTCTAAGAAGAAGATGAGCAAGGAGGAAGTGGATAAGAACCGTATTTCATTTCAAGTACAATCTGAATCAGAATCGATAAATTGAGCTCATTACAGTACCACACCTCTAAAGTGCTGCGGTTGGTTCAGAACCATTATTTGAATTGTATGTTATTCATGCTGGAGGCGCTACATCTTGTCCAAACCTTCTTGCCTCAACACATGAACACAGACATAATAAATACTGTGCGATGCTATAAACCACCAGCTGAGCCATGTCACAGGTTATATTTTGTAAATGCACAGCTGAACACTTTACTAAAGTTAATATAGACCTTCTGTATCCTCCAGTGTTCTGCACCTTTACTGTCTTGCATCTCCTTTTCTTTCTTCCCGCTCATCTTTATCCATCTTTCCTCACGACGGCATTAAAGAGAAAGGAGAGCAGGAGGACTGGTTCATTCTTCTTCTGGCTGATGTTGATATTTGTCTCCTATAATGATGAAGATGATGATGAAGGGTAGGAGATATCAGGAGGAGGAGAAGTGACGACCAACCGCCGCTGAGGAGGAGGAGGAGGAGGAGAAAAAACTGTGAGTTTGTGAGAAGCTTTAAGGAGGCAGAGTTACAGTAGAAAAAGAACAGACTCACCTGGCGGCTCTACGCTGACATCAGCAGACCTGTGGTCACTGCACAAACAAACAGGCTCGTTATTTAACTGACACCCCGACTGTTAATGCTAAGCTAACTAGATCTGAAGCTAACTGGACATGAAGCTAAATGGATTTTAAGCATATTCTACACTGCAAAAAGTAAAATCTTAGTAAGATTAATTATCTTAATTGAAGGCAATTGTTCTGTTGGCAGATAATTTTGCTTATTTTAAGTAATATTTCCCCATTTTAATGCTTTTTGTCCTTGTTTTTGAGAGCTCTGTTTTTGCAGTGTAAGCTAACTGGATCTTAAGCTAATTCTAAGATAACTGGATTAAATTCAATTCAATTCAATTTTATTTATATAGCGCCAAATGACAACAGCAGTTATCTCACAGCGCTTTTCATAAAAGAGCAGGTCTAGACCATACTCTATGATGTTATTTACAGAAGCCCAACAGTTCCCACCAAGAGCAGCACTAGGAGACAGAGGCAAGGAAAAACTTCCTTTTAAGATCTTAAACTAAAACTAAGCTAACTGGATCTGAAGCTAACTGGCTCTTAAGATAATTATAAGCTAACAGGACCTGAAAATAACTGGCTCTTAAGCTAATTCTAAGCTAAGTGTACCTGAAGCTAACAGGATCCTAAACTATATCTAAGCTATGTGGACCTGAAGTTAACTGTCTCTTAAACTAATTATAAGCTAACAGGACCTGAAAATAACTGGCTCTTAAGCTAATTCTAAGCTAAGTGTACCTGAAGCTAACAGGATCCTAAACTATATCTAAGCTATGTGGACCTGAAGTTAACTGTCTGTTAAACTAATTATAAGCTAACTGGATCTGAAGTTAACTGTCTCTTAAGCTAATTATAAGCTAACTGGATCTGAAGTTAACTGTCTCTTAAGCTAATTATAAGCTAACTGGATCTGAAGTTAACTGTCTCTTAAGCTAATTATAAGCTAACTGGATCTGAAGAGAACTGGCTCTTAAGCTAACTCTAAGCAAATTGTACTTGAAGCTAGGTGGCTCTTAAACTAATTCTAAGCTAAGTGTAACTTAAACTATATTTAAGCTATGTGGACCTGAAGCTAACAGGATCTTAGACTATATCTAAGCTATGTGGACCTGAAGCTAAATGGACCAGAAGCTATCTCAATTCTAATTTGACTCAGAAGTTAACTCCAAGCTAACAACCCCTGGAAAGTAAAACCAAGCTAACTAGACCCCACAGATGTCCCTCACCATCCTTAGTGTCTGGGGGCAGCAGGGCGTCCTGTCTGTTGGCGAGGACGAAGGCCAGCGTGGCCAAGATGGCGGCGTCCAGAACACCCAGGATAGCCAAGATGTAGGCCCAGTGGACCGAACAGTTACCTGGAGAGAAACTGCCCACCTGGAGACAAAAATACAGAATCAGTGTCTTCAATACAGGACAATCCAATGTCAATATCATTAAGACGGGTATTATTCTTAATATTTTATTTCCAATTACACAACATAATGTGACGTCGTTATGTACATGCAGAAGATCAATGATCACCAAAATTTTCCAAGCAAAGATTATTTTTCATGTACAAGCTAAAGATTTTTACCCACTTGTTTCACACAGGTTCAGCTGTGATGCCGACTTTGTATTTGTTTGTAATGTAGACATTTAAGGGTAATTTTCTTTTGATCTGTGCCAAAAAAGCTCAGAAGGGGATCGATATGTTTTATTGGCTCTGAATTCTGAAGAGACAAAAACTCACAGAGTCTCCACACAGAGCTCTCATCTCTGGACTCTCCCACGAGTCTGGAAACAGAAGACAAGCCAACGCCAGACAGAAACCTGGGAAGACAGACAGAGAGAGAGAAAGAGGTGAAGTGTGATTGATAATGGGTTCAACTAACTAAAAGGGTTTGACACAAGCAATGGCCCAATGACCCGGGGCAGGTAAAAATGTATGTCAAGCAAATTTTAAGCGACTTTTTGAAATGTCTTAAAAACAAAGAAAATGTGAGTTAGGCGCGTTTCCATCAGCTGCTTTCGAGCGAATAACCCAGGCTATGAAAAGCGTAGTTACGTCAGAAGTTGACGCTCCACATCGCTGTAATAAACAAGAAGTAGAGGTTGCAAACCAAAAAAAAAAAAAACAGTTGCATCGACGTAAAGACTGTGATCTGAGAAAAATGGAAAGAGGTCTTCATGAATGTCTTTCAGCTGGGCAAGTAGCAACCAGCCATGTATCCACGTGTTATCCAGGAAGACAACAGCGGAAACAGCTGATCAGGTACTTGAGATAATGTTTGCTACGTCAGAACTTATTCGGCAAAGGTGTTTCCATCTACTATTTAGCTCTTTAAAAAAAAAAGAGTTTTTGAATTTTTGCCATTTCCATCAACCTTTTCTAAAGCGCATTAAAAACACTGATGGAAACACAGTTGCTCTGTCTGCATCGGAAGCCAGCTGCCTCGCTGCCTACGTCCTACGCTGTCTCCAAAGGCAACATGCTAACTGTTGGGTGTCTTAAAGTTCCCCATCTCCTCCAGCTAGTCTGCCTCAACTCTCTGATGTATGGAGTTTCCTGATGGACAGATATCTTTACTTGTTGCTGAATTAACCGCTAACTAGCTGCTGTTATCTAATTAGCCCAGTTAGCCGTGCAGCTAGCGGTCATATTAGCTGACTCTGCCTGGGCTTGGAGCTCGTAGCACCTCAAGTGTTTTTATACCTTTACTGAAGCGCTGGAGGTTTTTCCTGCCAGGGGCAGGAGGAGGTGGCGGGGAGCGCCACCAGATTGGGCACAAGAAACCTCACTCAGCAGCCTCCCGGTACTGAACAAAGCCTCAAAGGCCGACAGGGAATATAGTACAGAGGCGATTTACAGCGTTTCTTGAGGGACAGATAACTTTACTTTTGCCGAAACTGCTGCTAACTATAATTATCTGTCTGTATCTGTAGCTAGTTAGCTCTCTTAGTCATGCATCTAGCATTCCTATTAGCTGACTCAGCCCTGGTGTAGATCCCAGATCTGCTCAGGTGGTCAGATCTGCTTGGGGCCTGCGCCTGCTTGTAACGTCATATAACGTGATTAGCTGTAACTTTTTATGACGTGGCAGATAGTGATTGGCTGTACACCGTAGTGTTTTCGGTGAATTAATGTTACAATGCTAATGTTAGCTGCCGATCAATTTAAGCTAACGTGTGTGTACGTTGTTGTCATTTTGCCAAAGCAAATGTGAAATAAAAGCAAAAATATTTACTGATAAATTAAGACCCCAAGCAGATCTCATACATCCATTTATATACATTAATGGAGCACAATGTAGTTTGTTCAAGTAGCTTAACTACTTTCTGCTCTCAGGGCTTTTGCAGCTAGTGGTCAGGCTTTAGTAAGTTCTGTTTAATAATTAGAGCTGTATTTCATTGTATAACTTCTAAATTATAATATTGTATATAAAAATGTATATAAAAATCTTCTCGTTCTAGACGTTTGGTGACATAATTACTTCTCACAGGCCTGGCTAGCAAACTACTGTAGCAAGCTAACCGCTAACATGCTAGACAGCCAGGAACATGCTAGTGGTAATCTGTCACAGTATCTTTCTGTTTTCTCTGGATCATTTACTCCCCCAATGTATTTTTTCTGTGTTGTACACTATTTTAGCATAAGCTTGGCAGAGTTAGCATGAGCTTAGCATGCTTGTTAGCTTAGCTCAGTCTCTAACCGTATGATGTCCTCCCGTCTCCTGACAGTTTATACTCTAACAGAGAAGCTTCAGTAAAACCTAAAGGTGACGCACAGCTAAAAAGCTACGATAGCTTCCTCCATTTTGGACTCTCAGACTCTCCGTCCAGTAGAACCAGTAACTTACCTGCCGTGAGCTGCAACCATGCGCAGATCTTGTACACGGTTGCGGCGCTGCAGAACCTGAAGAGACAGAGACAGAGGACGCTGGTCCACACCGCCCACAGAGAAACTCCCACCAACACCGCCACCGACTGAAAGGACGGCAGAGGAGACAGACTGGACAGACCACCACGACAGTCTGGGACCGGCCAGTCCGACTCCACACACACCTGACAACACACAGGTATACGGGGACACACAGAGACACACAGGCATACGGGGACATGTGCCTTTGTAGCGTTATCTAGTACAGGAACTAAAAACAAAACCACTGTCAGATTTATTTCTTTACTTCAAATAGTTTGTTTCACTTTTATTGATAAAAAGGAAAAATATTTTAGGATGAGGACTAATTGTTTGACAAGACTAACTATCAGTAGCTTAACTCTGATTGGACAGTGCTTGTTTGGAGGGGGCGTGGTTTCATGTTTCTCACCTCAAACAGTCCCAGGGTGCCGCTGGGCGGGGCCGGTCCCACCCCCTGGTGGCGGGTGTCTCCGGTGCCGATCCAGGACGGCTGCACCAGGACGACCACCTGGATGATGGCGAAGCAGAGCGAGCAGACGGCCCAGAGGACGCCGACCGCGCGGGCGCTCCGGACAAACTCTGTCTGATAGAGGCGAGAGAGGTCGACGAGGGCGGGCGACACCGACATGACTGAGAGAGAGAGAGAGAGAGAAATGTTTTTATTCCACACTTTCAGCCCGACTGAAGTGAACTCGTTCAGTGACTGACATGTTGATACTGATGCAACAATGTACTGCTGTAGCTGTAAATACTTTATATACTATTATTTAAATGTTTAATATACACGTAGCTTCATTCAGTGGGTCCTAACCTAGGGGTCTGGCCTTTCCAAAGGGTCACCAGATAAATCTGAGGGGTCGGGAGACCATTAATATTTTTTTGTTACTTTTCTCTAATCTTGCAGGTAAATATTAGTTTGACGTTTTGAATCTTCGCTATTTAAAGAAATCGTTTAAGAAGAAAATTCTCTGCCGATCACAAACCAAACTGTTCATGTCGGACTGTGTTGTTGGATTAATGAATTTATCACGTCGTTTTTATGTAAAATCTCAATCTGTAAACTGAAGCTGTCAGATAAATATGTTCCTGGAGTCCTAACCTGTACCGTGTACGTTATTTATCGTTTGTACTGTGATTTTTAATGACGTGGTTTTTAACCAGCCTGTGAAGCCAAAGGCACATTTCCACATTTGTGGACAATAAAGATCCTTTAAATAAAAATCCAGTAGATCCATTAGAAGAATAAAAAGTACTTCAAGTAAAGATTCAGACCAAAACAGCCAGAGCTCTGTGGGATAAAACGACCATTAAATTTAATAAATAAAAAGAATATACATGTTAATTATAATGTAGCTGCAGCTGATGTCGTTCCTTCAGTATGTCGCATCAATCCCAGCTGGCAGCCAATCAGCATCAGGTACAAGCAGCCTTCTGATGGTGACATCACCACCTCCGTGTTGTTTACCGAGGACGCTCACACACACACAAACACACACACATGCACACACACACATGCGCACACACACACCGTTTAAAACCGTCTGTCCGGATTTAAAAACGATCTGATCTGAGATCTGAAACGTGTCGCGCGCATCAACACGATCAGCTGGAAAGAAAACCGGAAACAAACCTTCAGCTGGAGGAGACGCACCTGTCTGCAAATCTGTCCGTCCGCCCGATGGTCTGCAGGATGAGAGGATGAGAGGATGAGAGGATGGAGGGGGGGGGGGGCTCTACATACCCGGATGTGCAGCCTCTCTGCAAACAGCATCCTGTCGTTATTATAATAATAATAATAAAAAACTGAATATAAACACAAAAACAATCACGTCTGTTTACATAATAAACACCAACAGCTCAGTTTATATTCAGTTAAATCAGATGGACTCCGCCACAGCGCCGCCTGCAGGCTGCCTGAGGACCTGCAGCAGGAAACATCTGGACACGCTGAACCTTACACAGATGTTTAATCTGCATATTTTACACAAGACTTCTGTCTGCTAAATCTCAGTCTGTCCACATACTTTTGGCCACGATGGGTCTCATCACAAGGTTCACTTACCGTTTCCGGAGCTTTCATCCACCACCTTCATCACCAGATACAGATTTTATTATAAATAAATAAAAGTAAAACGAAACAACACAAATAAACAGATTAAATTATGAGTTTAGATGCATCAAGTTGTTTCTTTATTGTTAATGAGTGATTATTGATTATTGATCGGGTGCTGGAGGAAGAAGATGACGCAGGAAACAATAATACATACAAACCACGTTTTTAATTATAATAAAACACGTACAGACAGAATATTGCACACAGACTTCCTCGAATCAGCGTTTTTTTTAATACCTGCCAGAGTTTCAACATCTCTCATTTGACGGACAGCTGCTTTGCTTCGAGTCCCGCCCCCTCTGACACTAACCAACCAATCAGAGTCAGAGCTGTCGAATCTGTTGCAGGAAAAAAATAAAATAACGCCTCTTATCTCCACCGTAACACTATCTGTAAACCAAACGAAGCCCCAACACAGAAACATCAAACTGCTGAGTTTTAAACTTTTCTAATTAAAGGTGGCAGAATAAAAAACAAAGCTTTCAGTTTGCAGCTACGCACTTAAATGTAAAAGCAGAAACTCGGTTATGAACGTTGTAATTCTGCAGGAGAGGAAACACTCGAGCTGCTCCTGGTACAAAGAGAAAGTGCAGATTTTGTTATCTGAACATGAAATCATAACTTGATTATAATCTAGTGGCGACTCTCTCCAAGCGGTTACATCACTGTGGCCACGCCCCCACTCTGAGTGGCCGCTTGCTGGTGATTGGCTGGTTGATCGGCGGCTCCCCGCAAAATGATTAAATAGTTAAATCTTCACATTTAACAAGAAACAGAATAAGCTTTTTTTCTTTGAGTCATTTTTTTTCTTCACAGAACGTTATGACTCAAAATCAACTCGTCTTGAGTTTTTACCGTTTTCATTCTCTTCTACTTGTTTTAAGTCTTTTAAACTCTAAAATGTCTCAATTTTTCACGTGTTTGATTCGTTCTCGTTTCAGGATACAAAGAAAGAAAAACGTCTCTGAGAAACAGGAAGTGACCCGTTTTCAGGACGATTGATTTATTAAACACTGAGTAGCGAATCAGCAGACGACAGAAAGACTTCTATTGTGTCATCACAGAAATTAAAACCCTCAGTTATTGAGTTACGGCCTCTTGGTGAGTTTCAGTCTGCTGGTGAACCGACAACCTGCTGACAAGTGACTGATGATGAAGAGGATGAAGATGATGAGCACCGATGTGCAGTTTAAAAAATAAAAAATGATTCTTCATTTGTTCCTTTGTATTTTTTTTGTTGCTTGTGAGTTTGTTTTTGGAAACTGTGGGACACCGTAGACGTCACTGGGTTCAACTACGTTTCCCACAAAGCACCACTGCTGCTGGCTGCGGTATTCATGGAAACGCACTCAAAAGTCCAATCATAGTGAGGGATGATACACACCCTCATCATCTTCTTTATCTCCTCCTCCTTCTTCCTCCTCTTAGCTCCACGGAGGGATCTCTTCTCCAAACTTTGCCCAGTGAGCAGCATTTTTAGCTTCAAACAGAGTCTGAACACAAAAACAAAAGCAGAGAACAAAGATGGAAAAGAAGTTTTAAAGATCCAGTTTTGCAGTTTATTTATGTAAAAACAATAATAAAAGAGTGAAAACACAGTAAAGTTGAAGATATTGCAACTGTTATCAATACATAAAATCCTCGTTTTGTGAATATTATTGAGGATTACAGCAGCGCACAGTGTTTAACCAAGCAGGAACCTCCGGGTCTGAAAAGTGAAGCCTTAAACCTGCGTCCTCTCCAGCAGCCAGCAGGGGGTGACTCAGTCGCTAGTTTCAAGTCTTCTTCAACACAGCATGATGTTCATTTAGTAAATTATGGTCCCATTTAGAGGAACAGAGACCAGGCAGCAGGGGAGGCTTTAGGGCGGGGCTACAAGCTGATTGGCGACCTGTCAATCAGGATAGAGGCGACTCGTATCCGCTGCTCTGTGCACATTTAACCAGCGCCGCTGAAAAAGCTCTTCAGGAGTCGGCTGCTCGTTTTTCAGTACGTTTTGTTTTAAGCCTGTTTGTCGCTAGCTAAAATTAGCATCCCAGCTAATGTGAATTACAGATGCACCTTGCTAACCAAGCTAGCTAGCTCCACCCTCTCATCCAAATATGGTCACGTCTGGTTCCAAAAAATCAAGATGGCGACGGCCAAGATGCCAAACTGGAGAGAAGGGTCCGGCTGCAACCTTCAGACAAACGTGACGGAAGTTGAACTTCCATATATGGTTTGTCCCAAAAGCTAACGCGCACAAAATGTAATGACGTTTATCTCGGGCCTCTCGGGCCACGCAGAGCCGTTAAATATAAAAAAAAAGAGGGGTAAAAAAGGAGGTGTCAACTGTCAACGTAGTAATCAGTGTACATTATGCGTTAATATTTACTATACTATAATTATATATTACTATCATAGTATATTAATACTATAATTCCTGTAAATACTTATTTATAATAGTCTAATGATAATAATAAAGCAATGTTTCAATTCTTACCACTGTTGTATATTTTATTTGTTCCAAAGTGATTTTAAGTTTCAGGAACCAAGAATATTCTGTAAGGTTACATCACGAGCCAGATGTGTCTGGATTTAGGTTAAAACTTTACAGCATTACTGAGAATTTAATTACAGAATAACAGCGGTAAGAACATTAACAGCATCGTTCAGCTGCTGCTGGACTCTTCTCGCTGTGTTGGCTGCAGTGGTCTGTGTGACCGGAGCTAGCTGGCTAACTATTCCTGACATCCCCCCACAGATACATTCCTCTCACGCTAACCCTCACAGGGCCTAAAGTTACTGATTGTCTGCATGCCGACCGGTTGCAGAGGGTTAACCTCCATCGTGTTGCTGTGCAGCCTCCGGTAACGTTACTGCAGCTGTATAATGACACCCGTCGGAGCTCAACTCCGAAAACCTTTGAACACATTTTCGATTCGCCGTCAATTTTCGTAAAAACTGTCAATATTCAAAATCTACACAGTTGATTTTTCGCCTCAAAACGGTTTGCATTAGGATCCATACTGTATGTGAGCCGAGAGGAACGGCATCATATTTTGTGCGCGGCGTCTTCTGGGACAAACCAGATTTGGAAGATACACTTCCGTCAGGTCTGCGGGCTGCGGCTGGATGTGCTTGAAACTGGAGGCTCCAAACAGTAGTCCACAAACCAACAGGGGACGTCACGGAGGCCACGCCCACTTCTTTTATACCATCTGTGGTGTTAAGGTGTTTTAACTGAATACAACTCATTTGCACATAGAAAGTTAGAAACGTTTCTCTGACTTTAGAAAGAAGAGAGAAAGAGTGAAAGTCACCTGGTTGTGAACGTAGGACTCGCACAGGTAACACCACACGGACAGATCAGAGAAGCTCAGCACCATCGGGTGTTCAGACACAACGCCGTGAGTCACCATGTGCTCATTAACATACCGACCACAGAACACCTGAGACAGGGAGCACAACAGGTGAGACACAGCGTGACAGGGCAGACAGAGAACGTGACGGACAGGTGAGACACGTCACCTGGTAGCAGGTGAGACAGGTCCAGTTCTCAGCGTCAGAGCCGCAGTCCTGACACGGCAGGAAGACATCTATACCTGAGGGGGGGAGGGGCTTAACGGCATCCAGGTGAGGACACCAGGGCAGCGGGTCCACCACGTACAGAGGAGTCTAAAGACGGAGGCAGAGAGGGAGGCGGGTCAGTAACACAGAATCAATAATCAATAAATGACATAATTAATATTTACTGACGTCCGTCTGTCCTCCACACTTCAGCTCCAGAGACGTCAGAGGCTTCGACCAACCACACGCTCCCTCAGCCTCTGGCTCCGCCCCCGCTCCACCAGAGGGGGCAACGGACTCTGACGCTGCAACAGCCTGCGAAGGGTTAATAATCAATAAGACATCTGATAAACAAGTTAATGAGCTCGCACAGATCGTGGGAAGCAAAGCATTGTGGGAAACCGCAGGTGTAGAGACTGAAGACTCACTTGAGGCTGCGGCAGCGTACTCTCTGCTGATTGGCTCTGCTCGGGCGTCACTTCCTCTGACTCCGCCTTCACTTCACCTTCACAGGTGACCTTCTCTGGGCTGAGGCGGACCTTCGGCCTGGCCCCGCCCACCGCAGTGGAGGTAGCGGGAGTGTGACCGCCGGAGGTTTGACTGATATCCAAACCGGCCAGTCCCTGCGTGAGCTGCTCCAGGCCGCGCTCCGTCTGATTGGACAACAACAACAAAGAGGAGGAGACACAACATCCGGGTTTCACTCTTTTTTCATCTTCTTATCTAAACATGTTTTTCTCGCGCGGATCGTTACCGTTTTGTCCTCCGGTCCTGTAGGGGGCAGCGGAGGTTTCTCTGTGCTGCTCTGCTCCGATTTCCTGCCTTTTCCTTTAGAACTACGTTTCCCACGATGCTTCAGGGCGGGCACGGACGCCCGGACAGACTCTGGGACTGAGTGGAGAGAGAGGAGGTTTCAAAATAAAGCAAAACAGAAAGTCACAAAGTAAAAACAGATGAGAGCCTGAACTGACTGTGGATCCTCAGGGACCGCCAGTAGGGGGCGTGGTGTCGGATGACCTCGTTGATCGTTGCCACGGCGCTGTGATGAGGAGGGGGGAGGGGCGTAACCA